TGATCTAAATTAAGTAGAGTTCATGGGCTACATAAATTGATATGGACTTAATGAGTGGATACCTAATATTACTAGGGTTAGTATATATAGACCCTCTTGGTTATGGTCTCCAATACACAAAATCAAACATAGTTCTCTCTTCTCTTTATCGGAATTGAGAATGACGGTCCCATATGAGGAATAAGGCGATTTAGTTGAGGAAGGCCATAAAACCGACATCGTTCGTGATCGAGGACGTGTTCGTGATCCAAGTCCATGGTGATCGGATCTATAAATCCACCTAAGGTACGCTTCCGCTATCTAGTTTAATTCTCGAATATTTGATATGAAAGCTCCTGGGATATAGCGATGGTTTTTGCATAAAGCTAATTCCAACCGTACCCATAGCAGATCCATCATCGTATATGAGGTACAACTGTACCTCTAAATTTGTACAGTATATGATAATGGAAAAATATGAATGTACAACCTTTCTTTACAACCTTCATTTACAAACTGATGTGGCATTTTAAGTGGGACATACACCTTTATTTTCTTTTCTATTATTTTATTTTACATAATATAGAAAATAAAGACGTGGGGAGCCAAAATTCTGAACGACCCTTCCACCCCAAAAACCCTGAATCCACCAAAGCAAAAGATATCGTGGCCGCAACCATCTGCAAATTTAATCCGTCAGTACCATCATCCCTAATCGTCCAAGAAGCCAAGAAATTTAACCCGTCAGTACCATCATCCCTAATCGTCCAAGAAGCCAGCAGACATCGTGTGGCAGCCATCTGCAAGCAACCGTCTGCAACTCATATACGACCACGAGGCAAAATCTTCAGCTATCGTAATGGAAGGAGGTGAGAATGAACCGTTGCTCGAAAATGAAAAGGTTATTACAAATTGTAGTACGAATATAAGTGCCCCGGAGGCTGGTATGGAATTCAAAGATATAGACAGTGTCTTTGATTTCTATAAAAAATATGCTTACAGTGTCGGTTTTCCGGTGAGAAAAAGAAATTCGGGAAAGGATGATGATGGCATTTTACGATATGTTACTTTCACATGTAGTCGTGAAGGAAAAAGAATGAGTGGCACAAGAGGCTCATTGAGGTCGCAACCAACAACTCAGACAGACTGCAAAGCTCGAATCTTGGCATCTTTAGATGATCATGGTTATTGGAGAATTAACACAGTTTACCTCGACCATATTCACAAATGTAGTCCAACTAAGTCGAGATTATATCGATGCCATAGAGAATTGAGTGCAAGTGTAAAGCGAAGGCTTGAAGTGAATGACGTAGCCGGAATTCCATTGCATAAAAGCTTCAATTCTGCTGTAGTTGAAGCGGGTGGATACGATAATATGACATTTGTCAAGAAAGATTGTCGTAACTATATCGAAAAAGTTAGACGGTGAAGCCTGGGAGAGGGGGACGCTGCAGCAATAATATCATATTTTTCAGATATGCAAGCAAGGTGTGCTGGGTTTTTCTTCTGCATGGATCTGGATGATGATTCCCGTTTACGGAATATTTTTTGGGCAGATAATCGAAGTAGGGAAGCATATAAAGAATTCGGTGACATCGTCACATTTGATGCAACCTACTTAACAAACAAATATGACATGCCTTTTTCACCTTTTGTTGGTGTTAATCATCACGGACAATCAACACTTCTAGGTTGCGGTCTGATCTCGAATGAAAATACGGATACCTTTGTTTGGCTTTTTCAGACATGGCTTAAGTGTATGCACGGTCAAGCTCCTCAAGGACAGAGCAATGCAAAATGCCATTCGGATTGTTTTTCCCAATATGAGACATAGATGGTGTTTGTGGCACATTTTAAAAAAATTGCCTGAAAAGTTTTGATATCATGTCGATAAAGGTTCAATTTTCTCAACAATACATGAATTGGTGTATGACTCTCAAACGGTTGAAGAATTTGAACAAGGTTGGGAGTCAATGACCACAAAGTATGCATTGTGTGACAATGAATGGTTGTTGGGATTGTACGAAAACCGTAGTCTTTGGGTTCCATGCTTTCTAAAAACTTTTTTTTGGGCTGGAATGTCAACTACACAACGAAGCGAAAGCATGAATGCCTTTTTCGATGGGTACGTCCACTCAAAAACATCATTGAAACAGTTCGTTCAACAATATGAAAGAGCATTGAGAAACAAGGTGGAAAAAGAGCTTCAAGCTGATTTTAAGTCATTCTGCCAAACAGTCCCATGTGCAACAACATGTGAGATGGAAAAGCAATTCCAAACAGTGTACACTATTTCCAAATTTAAAGAAATTCAAGCCGAGTTTGTGGGTAAGGTTTAGTGTGATGTCATTTCTTCTTCAGTAGGTTGTTTTGGGACAATTTACGAGGTCAGGGAAGATTTATTTTGTGGCTATCAGAAGAAGAAATCATTTTTTGTCTCTTTCAATAGGGAAAAATGTGAAGTTTTTTGTAGTTGTCATCTGTTTGAATTTCGGGGTATTCTTTGTCGACATTCAATTGCAGTACTTATCCCTAATGACGTCTCTAGACTTCCTGATCAATATATATTATATAGATGGAGAAGAGATGTCAGGCGACCATACACGAGGATTGCTTTGAAATATGACGGATTGAGGAATTCTCCGGGACAATTGAGGTACGACAATTTGTGCACAGCTTTTGCCAAGGTCGCAGACCTTGCTGCAGACGATGAAGTTCGAGCCGAGATGATTATGGAATGGATCCAATTGCAAGCACAAGAACTTTCTATGTTAAAAAATATCGGGGAAAAAAATAATTGCAATATCCAGCAAGTTTCAAAACTCCATGTAGCATTGGCGTTGGAGATCCGAAGTTGACAAAAAGAAAGGGTGCACCAAGAAAAGTTCACAAAAAAAGTCCGTTGGAGTCGACTTCGTATAAGAAAAAGGAGAAGAATGAGGTATCTTTATGTGTATTCACAATAGTTAAATGAAATACTATAAAATCACTTTTGTTTTTTCTTTTCATTGTATTATGTATTTGCAGGCGCCTTCAATGAAAAGAGGGAAGGGACTTACAAAAGAGTTAGTCAAGCAAACAAATGAGCCAAAGGTCTAATTTGTTATTAGTAATTGATTAATTGTTTAAAATCACTTCATTAGAAAAAGTTAAGATAACAATAATTCATAAACATATGCAACTTATATCCATTATGATACATGAAATAAAAACAAAATAAAGAAGTCAATTTGAATTCTGCTGCTTTATGGAATGTTTATGTTGAGCTCATGGTGTTTGTAGTTTTCAGTTAGAATTTGTCACTATTCTCTGAATTGTTATGTCGGTCTTTCCCTGTTTTGTCGTTTTTTTTTTCTTTTTCTCTGACAATTACTAAATTTATATTACCTCATGGTATTACATAATGTTTTTTCTTAGTTGTGTTTTTTTTTCTTTTTCATTTTGTCAGATGTTGACATTGGAGACTGGAGTTGAATTTCAGGTGGAAAATCAATCTTCTGTGGAGTTAAATTCTCAAGGTTAACTCAATTTTTGAACATGTTAATTTCTATGGCATAATGTGTATGTTTAATTATTCAATCTTATGTCTTTTTTTTTTGTTTTTTTTTATAGGTAATGTGATACAATATTACAACCAGTATTCACCATATCAAATGGGGGATGGGAGTGTTTGAAGACAATTAGATAATATGAGGCTTTTGGTCATCAGTTAACTTGAGAATAAATTATTTGAATTTTTGTGTCTGATTTTGTTGGTACCTACTGGATAGTGACTTGTTTCCTGTTGAATTAATTGCATTATTTCTGCTTTATTTCCATGTTAAGGTTTTCGCTTCCATTTAATTTCACTCTTTTGTAGCCTTTATTTTAGTTTGAGCTAGCAAGAGTTTGTGAAAATAGGTTTTAATTAGGCATATTGTGAAAAAATCAGGGTCTTTGGTTTTGTTTTGTGAGGCTTAAAGGTGAACTGGGAATATCAAAATTTGCCAGTTTGTACTGTGTTGGAACTTGGAATATATTCTCAAATTTTATAGCTAAAACTCAATCGCCTGCTATTTGGTTCATGCTTTTCACTTGTGGCAAGTAATTAGGTGTTTGGTTAGTTTTGATTATTTAGATTGATTTCATTCATGATATGCTATTTGGTTCATGCTTTTCACTTGTGGCAAGTAATTAGGTGTTTGGTTAGTTT